CATTCTGGCACAGCAGTAGGCTAGCCCCAAATTTAAAACTGAAACAACTGTAAAAGTCTGACTCACAGACGAACACAATACAGAAGCCCAATGATGGCAAATGAGATTCTGCCAAAACGTTGCTACAACTTTAAAAGCACAACTATAATGACATGGGAAAATACCCAAACAAAGCTGAATACCATACATGTAAGTACCCGCAAAAACTTAAGAATATATGTGTGTGTGTGTGTGTGTGTGTGTGTGTGTGTATTATCTCCTGTTAATGGCTTTTCAAAAATTATACATAATTGGGATTATTAAATCTAAGTAACTAAATGATTGAAATTGTAATATCTAATAATTTTGCTTAGAAATTGGGAGATGAATAAAGCTATGTTAAGATTTATATATATTGTACATACATACATATATACATGCATACATATATACATGCATGCATACATACATACATACAATATATATATATATTACATTTTGTCTAGTTTATAGCAAAGAAACAAACATTCCCCTCCCATCCCCCCAAAATACCTTTGGACATACTTAAGTCTAGAATAGGTTTTGCTCCCAGGTTATACATTAGTTGCTTAAGAGTTTTGCAATAAATATTTTTTTAGTGGAATTAAAACCAAAACCCTAAGCAGTATTCAGAAATCCTAAAGGGAAATTAAAGATTGTTGGTATTTTAACCCTTTTTTTGTCCAGGAAGCGTGAGATTATTTCTACAACAAAACAGATTCTAATAAAAGGTTATTAATATTATGTGTGATGTTTTTAAAAAGTATGAGAGATGTAGAGTTATCATTCCTTTCATCAAACACTAACAAACAAAGCCACTCTTGCATATTATTCCCATTTATCAACATTTCAAAGAACATTATATGCACTTTATATTTTGGGAACTTGATAAATTTACATAGTTACATAGTTGTAGCTTCCCTCAAATTTGTTACAAATAATAAATTGCTATAATCAAATCTAATTTCTGGAAAATCCTGTGGGAATAGAAAACAAAAAACATGTATTGTTAAAAATGATAAATAGCCCAGAGGATGAATTAAAAAATTAAATTTGCATGGTCCATGATTACAAATCCTAGCAGTACATAAGATTCTATAGATTTCTGTTGACCTTTACATTTCATAGGAGAGAGAGAAAGAGAGAGGGGCGGGGAGCAAGGGAGGGAGGAAGGCAGGCAGGGAGGCAGGATGGCTGGCTGGCTGGCTGGCTGGCTGGCTGGCTGGAAAGAAGGAAGGAAGGAAGGAAGGAAGGAAGGAAGGAAGGAAGGAAGGAAGGAAGGAAGGAAGGAAGGAAGGAAGGAAGGAAGGAAGGAAGGGGAGAAGGAAGCCTATAGTACAAAATATTTTGAGGAAAGATCCATTTACCCTTTGGAAGCTGATATAGACACTTATCTAAAAGTGCATTAGATTAGTTTCACTATGAAAAGCATGCTGCTGTCCAAAATAAATCTTAAGCAAATAATACGTTATATTTTACTACTCAGAAATGGGTATTGTTGGGATATCTACAAATTCTGATAAATACAGAAAAATCTGAAGAGCAGATTATACTTTGTTCAAACTGTAATTTGGTAGTACTCAGTAATTATATGCTGCTAAATCAGATTTGTATAAATTCTCATGAAATCTGCATGTCTAATCTGGGTTTCAATTATTCTGGCATCAAGCATTTTATGTCTTGAAAAAGCAAAGACGTCTGGATGTAGGCACTTACCAATAACATTTTCTTTGCATTTGCACTGGCCTGAATTTTGGTGACAGGTAGTATCTCCATCAACTGTCCCAGAGGCATTACAGCTACAGGGGCTGCAGCCATCAGGGTTGAACTCTTGCAGATTGTAGAATCCTTCCTGGCATTGATTGCATTGTCTACCAGACACATGTCTTTTGCAATTACATTTTCCTCCAATCTAAAAAAAGATACAAAAAGTGTGGTCAAATGTTGAGTGCACTTTTCCTCCCTTGCCTTGTACATACTTATTAGTGAAATGAGTGTATTAGTAGGTTAGATAATCATCAGATTAAAAATCTGAACAAAAATTCCTAGTGCCTCCTCCTCCCACCCTGTAGTGGAAGTAAACACAATTAATACAATCCAAGCTCCATATCAACCTGCTGAGAAAACCACATCTTCAGGATCTTCCAGAAAAGTACAAACAGTCCTCAACTTATGACCATAATTGAGCCCAAATTTTCTGTTGTTAAATGAAACATTTGTAAAGTGAATGTTGCCCCATTTTACAACCTTTCTTGACAAAGCTGTTATGTGAATCACCACAGTTGATAAATTAGTAACATGGTTAAGTGAACCTGGCTTCCTCATTGATGTTTGTCAAAAGGTTGCAAAAAGGTTACATGTCCTTTGGACACAGCAATGGTCATAAGGTCATGCCAAGCATCTGAATTTTGATCCCATGAATATGGGGATGCTACAAAGATCGTATGTGTGAAAAAAGGTCATAAGTCACCTTTTTCAGTGCTGTTGTACATACAATGCTCATGTTTACTAAGCATATTTATTGAAAATTTATTGGAATTGCATCCTGGATTATGAGTATCTTTCTTTAAAAAAATCCATCTGAAATACATATTTCAGAACACAGTTGTGAATAAAGTGCTTTTATAATAAAAGAAGTATTATTTTCTGTAAACTGAAGGCTTTCCTTTTTAAAAGAAATCTATAAAGATAAAACCCATATACTTATTCTCTTCTGGAATTTTGTATCTTCGTTTAGGCTAAATGACATATAACTGGTTCTTTACAAAAAAGCATTGATGAACTGCTCAGAATGGTAAATTATGCAGCAAAAGTGTATTCTGAGCCATTTAAACACACTTTCTTGAAAATTATCCTTGTGACGTGACAATTAATTTTCATGAGCCAGGACCTTATTCCTTACGATTCCATCTTCCACGGGTCAGCCTTGGAAACACTTCCTTCAATAATGCCTTTCTATCTCATGTAATTCATTTCTGCCCATTTTCTCCAGACTTATTAATCTATTTTTAATGCCTCTTAATCATTCTGCTCTATCTTGGTTTTACTGCTACAGTCTATTTATGCCTTATTGAGCTATACAGACCAGCCCATTTTTCCTTATTTTCTTTTTTATATCATCTTGGTGTTTCACCTAATTTCTCACTCTTGCTGAGCTTCAGCTTTAAAATTAAACAAAAGAAAAAGAAGAAAAATGTGCAACTGCCTTATTACCTGCAATTAGAACAACTTAACAGTTAGCTATTAGCAATGTGGAATAATCAGCAATTTCAGAAGTAGCATTGGCTTTATTTATTTAAAACATTTATATAGCCACCCATTTTATGTCACATTCTGGGTGTCTCCCATAAAATATATATATAAACTTGATTGAAACCCTAAACATTAAAATCAAAACCCTAGTGCCCAATCAAGCTTCCCACATGCAATCCTCTCATCCTAGAGGGATAAGCCAGATCTTCAGTGCTTTCATGGAAGGCTAGGAGGATAGAAGCCTGCTGAACTTCAGGAGGAAGAGTATTCCCTAGGACAGGGCTTCCACAGAAAGGCATTCTTAATAAGGTGGCAGTGTTTAAGGGAAGGGACTAGGAGCATGCTCAGCCTATCTAACCTGGTAGAATGAGGAGATGACTTTAAGAAAAGACAGTCCTGAAGACAAATCTGGCTGTATGCCATATCATGTTTAAAGGTGATAAATATCACCTTGAATTGGGAAAAAATGGAAGTCAGTGCAGCTGACACAAGAGAGGTGTTATATGGATAAACCTGGGGGTACTCATCACTGTGTGTGTCTGACTAATTGAAGTTTCCATGTGGCCTTCAAAGACAGCCCCTTATAAGTGCATTTCAGTCATCCAAATGGGAGGGCACCATGGCATGAGTGACCATCAGCAAGGATTTATTTCCCATCTATTTAATTTTTGTACATCCTGTGATATTCAATTGCTTCTGGAAAGATTTTATGGTCTTGGCCTAACAGACATCTTTATGAGGAACACAAAATCAGACTCATTACTTAAGGTTAATGTCAGCAATGTTGTATTTCCCATTGCTGGCTTAGGATAAAGGATTGTAAAAGCAATGAGCTTTTCATGGATAGATGAGCCCTGGTGGCGTAGTGGTTAGAATGCAGTATTGCAGGTTACTTCTGCTGTCTGCCAGCTGCTTGCAATTTGGCAGTTCAAATCTCACCAGGCTTCATCCTTCCGAGGTCGGTAAAATGAGGACCCAGATTGTAAAGCTCTGTGAAGTGTTATATAAGTTGCTATTGCTATATCAAAACTTCATATATTTTAATGGTTTTTTGAACAATCTAAGATACCAGTTAAAGACTGTTCTCAGTGAGCAGAAAAATATACATAATGCGAAAGAAAAAGGAATATATCAGAATGTTCCAAGGCAAGATATTTCTCATCACTGCCCTGGTGTACCAAAATGTGTTAAGGAACCAATTTTCAACCAACTTTCCATATAGCTTTCTTGCCCTTTGAAAGAGATGGGTTGATCAATATATTATGTTGCTTACCTGCAAATGAAAATCAAGAGTTTAAAGTCATTGGTAACTTTTTTATATGAAATTAGTCTTTTTAATTATGGTAAATAAAATAATATATAGGAAGAAACAGGGTTTTTTTCCCTTTCTTAATATATTTCAAAGCCAAATTATAAAAACTATGAGTTAAAGTCACTGATGAACTGACAGTATAAGGTAACTTTCTATTAGAAAAGTTCATACACAATGAGCAATATAGGATGCCAGCAATTTTCCTTCTCAAAATAAATGCAGTTTCCTAACTTTTTTCAGGTTCTGATTTTTAATATATTCCATCAACAACCCCTTTTCTAATATACATCCCAATATTTATGTGTTCTGTCCCACTTGTATCCACAGATGAAACTTCAAGTTATATAGTTCAAAATACTTTACGTAAACAAAACCAGAGTCAGAAGATTGAATTGCTCTGTTATCACAGTCCTTTGGCAATCCTCCTAGAATCTGTCCGGCAATTCTGTAAAGTTCGTAACTCACAACGCAGTAATTAGATACAAGTCTTTCCAAGGCAAGATTCACTTTGTTTCCAGCAAATATTTCAAAGTCATGCGCTCCCTTATATCCTCTAAGAAAGGGCGTGTCAGTCTCATTAATTAATCCTTTGCTGGACGTCTCTTTTCTAATTGAGATTGACGTCTCAATCTTCTCCTAGTTCTGGCATCCAACCAGCATCTGGCAGTTTCATCACAGCTGGAATCCTCTGATACACTTTCCTGATTAACAGTTAACACCTGAGGTGCAATCAGGGAGGGAGTTCCAGAAGAGGAAGACGTCTCTGAAACTTCTAATAAATCAGGTTCATCTCTCAGATTCAACTCCTCCTCTTCCCCCAGACTCCTCTCAACGTCGCTCAGCAATGCAGGCTCGAATCTCAATGCCAGATCTTCCTCCTTACTCGAGCCTACATCTGCTGACTGCCCCGGTTCAAACCTCAGAGGCACAACATTTATGGTTCATCAAAAAACAGTCTCCTGAACTATACATTCTTTTGTCAAAAGGAATCTGACAATCAGTTTTCCTATATCCATGGGATGAAGTAAGGAAAGTGGGAGTGGATCATCTGGTTCATTCTTTTATAGATAATATTTGAGTACAATCTTGTAAACATTTATGCAGGTGGGAGCTTCTCTGAAAACAGTAGGACTTACTAAGGGCAACATGTTTTCAGGCAACCTATTTGTCTTGGCAGGGTATCAGTCCTTTGAGGTAGGGTAAGTCAGGAAAGTAACTCCACTAGGATTTTCAGAACTCTATTGCTTCAAGTTATAATATAGAATGTTGACAACCTGATGGATTCTATTTCTCTGTCTGTCTGTTTGTCTGTCTCTGTCTGTCCCTCCCTTCCTTTCTCAGGGCTAAACTGATATTTATATAACCACCTTTACATCCCTTCTTACAAGAAAGTTCCATATTTCACTAAAGGTTGAGATGAAGACTACAATTATCATAGTATCTCTAACATGGTTCATAAATTCTTTGAATACTGTTATCCCATTTTCACCTTTAAAAATCTGGCAAAGCAGAAATATTGAAATCTAAAATAGTAAAAGAAATTCCCAAGAACTTGGTGAACCCCTCTTCATTTTTTCCCCAATCTTGATAAAGGGAATTAGTGCCAATGGCAGCCACTTTAAAGTTAACTTGAGGACAAAGCTACTTACCTTATTGCAAAAACAACTACCATTTTTGGTGCCTGCTGAGTAACATTCACAGGGTTTACAAACATCCAAAGCTGAGAGATCCGCATCTATATGCCGATAGAAGAAATCATTACACAACTCACAATTTCTTCCTGCAAAAAAGAAAAGGTTACGCAATGTAGCTTCCAATTCATGAAAATTAGCTGTATAATTCAAAATTAAATACAATTCCCTTGAGAGAATTATGTAATTTTCAGGACGTCCATTTTAATGCACCTTTCATCTCTACCTGCCAATTTAGTGATCCAAAGCATATGAAACAATGAACCTGTTACAAACTGTGTTTTACTCCATTAAACTTCCATCTGTTACATAACATGACACTCCTATGAAGCTAGGCTGTTTGATACCTATTTTTTAAAATTGGAAATTATTCATAAACTTAGCTCCTAGGAACAAAAGCCAAGAATATTGAAAGTTCTAAAAAATACCATAGTGCAAAAATGATGATTTAAGCAAGGACATGTTTTCGTGTTTTATAAATGTTCAGCATGAAACAAAATCAGAATCCAATTATAGGAAATTAGAGAATTCTACTGATGTTGTCCTGTCCTTAAAATAATTCATAGGATCAGAGCCACTTCTGCAAATTCAAGGATCCCTTCACATGAAGAACAGCAGGTCAGAACACACTAAAGCCAACAAAACTGCTTTACAAATTAGTTTGTTCTAGTAGAATTTATACTGCTTGAGAGTATCTATTGTTCTGAGTTACACATAGGATTTTTTCCTCATAGTACACTGAGATTAAAAAGAATAGTATTTATTTTTAAGTGACACAGAAGTGCAATATATCCCTAAATTACTGCCTAATCTCACCCAGTTATCCCATTATAATTTAATTAGGTTTTGTATTTTTTGAACACATATCATCTGAACAATCAGAGCAACAAGGTCCTATTAAAAGGGGAATTTGTGGGAAATCACAAATACCACAACATATTATTCTTTCCCCTTTGTTGGAATGAGCATGCCTTCTTTAAAGTGGTGTCTCCTGATTCAAAGCAAAGTCATGTTATGATGACTTCTGATAGCAACTCCGTGTTCTTTATTTCCTTGACAACCATCATACAGTATTATGACTTATTTAAATTATTAAATCAAATTATACTTCATTACTTGTTTTCCATTTATGATGTTTTATCTGAAGGAATTCTTTAAATTTCAATCAGTTCAGTGCTGGACAAATTTGGGATCTTGTCTATACAAAACATTCTCTTCCATATATTATGTATTGTATAATGTGACAAATACATTGATCTTTCAATGAATATAAACATTACAAATAACACACATGCAAGTGAATCAGGTATAAGACTTAGTGATACAGGCTCCACCTTATTTTGTATCTAGATATTTCCAACAGACTTATAACTTTTTAGTACATAATTTTTTACTTCTTTCTGTAATGCATGGATTTATACAATAAAAGGTTGGGTTGGGTGGAAATAATTCACATCATAGAATTCTACATTTTATACATCCACCTCTAATTAATGATACTTTAGAGGAGCCAACCACAAAGCTTCTGCATATGCCCCTGCAAATATATGTGCATTCCATTTGGTTGTGATAATTACCTGAGGTGTTATGTTGACAATTATCGCAGACTCCACCACCACCTCTATAATATTCATTAGGAAAGTAATCTATTGTACTGTTGTAATGACAGCTTACAGCATGGTTAAAACATTGACAAGGTTTGCAATTATAAGCATGAACTTGATCTCCTGGATGGAATGGCTTGTCATTGTACAGTGGCTGACAGTGATCACACTGAAATAAAGAATTAGTCAGAAATGATTGTTTAGAACAGATATATGAATACAAATGCCATGCACCCCTTGTTACATATTGACCTGTCTATCATTAATTTTTAGAGACATGAGAAAAGAAAAGATGTAAAATCATTTTTTTAAAAATGTGCTCTACAAATTATTTACAGGTAGTCCTCGAGATATGATCATAGTAGAACATGCCCTTGAAATTGTATGTTGCAACAGCTGCTAAATTGTTTCACTTAACAATTCTCCCATTCCTGCTCCTAGCAATTGTTAAACAAATGTGTACATCAGATTACTGTGGAACATGGCATGACTCAGAGGTGTGGGGGGATACCTAGCATAGGCACAGGCCTGCCAGCCCTAGCCCTCCCAAGGCCTCCCTGCACCCTTAGTCACCCTCTACTCTGCTTCCTGCCCCTTAGGTCCTCACAGCCCTTTCCCCATTCCCACCAGGTATTCCCCAATTCAAATGTATTCTTAAAATAAGCTTTATCTTACTTGCAAATCTCAGCATTTTTTCTTATTTAGGGTTCTCAATAGCAGAACCACATCTGGTTGAAGCAACCTTAACCACCAAGTCATCTGAATACTAAGCACAGGATTACTTGAAAACTATCTGTGTTTGCCTAGAATTCTGAAACACAGAATGAGCTATAAAATGTATAACTGCTGCTGTTTGAATATTTAATGTTTGTAGCTGTATAATTTATTTATTTTTTAAAAAAATCAGGGTGTATGATCTTCCTGCTTAGCTCTCAGAATCTGGTAAATATTGTTATAGGAATATCTCTGTAGTACAACTATTTCCTTTCTCCTCCTCCTCCTCCTCCTCCTCCTCCTCCTCCTCCTCCTCCTCCTCCTCCTCCTCCTCCTCTTCTTCCTCTTCCTCTTCCTCCTCTTCTCCCTCTTCTCCTTCTCCTCCTCCTCCTTCTCCTTCTCCTCCATTGTTTCCTCAACCTCCAAGTTTCATGGCAAATCATGAGTCTTAGTACATAAGCTTGTGTGGTTAGAGTGCAGTACTGAGGCTACTTCTGCAGACTGATGGCTGCCTACAATTTGGCAGTTCAAATCTCACCAGGCTCAAGGTTGACTCAGTTTTCCATCCTTCTGAGGTTAGTAATATGAGGACCCAAATTGTTGGGGGCAATATGCTGACTCTGTAAACTGCTTAGAGAGGACTGTAAAGCACTGTGAAATGGAATATAAGTCTAAGTGCTATTGCTATTGTGTATTCACATTCTTCTCACATCCCAAAACAGTTTGCTGCCATGATAGAATGTATGTACATTCTGATAGATGTACATACCAGTGTATGCACAAAAAGAGACATAGACTCCTTAATCACTTACAGACATTTTAGGTAAACACTGTCTCCAGTGTAACTAAGAAAATGAAATTCTACTTATTTCAAAAAAGGCAAACAACAGTTCATATATCTACAAAGTAGCTGTTTTATTAAATCAGAAGAAACACAACCAACATAGAGATGGGATTATTTGGGTGGGTATTAAAGTTTTCCTCATCGAGTTTTGATTAAATGGCTTTTTTTAGTAGACAAACATCAATGGTAAACAGAAATCTCACTTGTATAACATAGGAGAAATCCTATTCCTTCCATCCATCACCTTGATAATATTCTTGGAAAGGAGCTTTAAATTTGCTCCCTCCTAATATCAATATTAGGTTATTCAATATAGAGATCTATCTGAAACTAAATGTAACAGTACACAGTACACAAAGCTTCACAGATAATGGCCAAGAATAAACTAATCTGTGTTTTAATAGAGTATGCTGAGAACAAATTACTTCACTAATAAGCCAGAATTTCACTATTCTCTTGGTTTGTAGACATTCAAGAATGTCAGGAGATGAAACTTAGTATTCCATTCCAAGAAACGATCCAAGAACTTAGTTTGTTTTAAAAAGCCTATATATAAATGTAACCTCAGTTAATGGAAGTTGGAAAAAGAAAACCAGGCAGCATCTTGTTTGCATATTCAGTTTTGGAAAAAAAAAATCCAAATTAACCAAGGATCATTGTACAATATTTTATTGAATTGCTTTAATTAAATTATCAGAGTTTAGACAGAGTGAACTATTCTATAAAAGTCCAAACAACTAGAATTAATTTATATACACAGGGTATGAAATTCATATTTAATTCCTTCAAGGCCATGGGAATTCAGTCAGCCATTTTAAATAAGACAGAAAGAACCTTTCCTGTTGGCCATTATACAGATTCAAGTCAGCTACATAGAATGCTAGTATATTTATTTGGTGATTGTAGTTTTCTCTAACCTATATAAGAGCATCTTTAATTTCCTGTCACTACTGCAGCTTTCTTGTCTTGAAGAAACTTTGACAACTTCAATTTTAATTGGCTATTTGAAATGAAGATCTCATGGCTTTTCATCAACGGTGCAAAGTAAATTGCATTCCTGTGGGATCATTTTTTTTTTACTAAAACAATGGCTCCTCTACAATTCTGTGCTCTGGTAGATTGTCTGGGAATGCAGTCTTTCAATATTCAAGACTGCACCTTCCTATTTCAGTAAATACTTTCCACAAATTATTTTAGAAATCTAGGATCTATGGCCTGTGAAATTAAATCAGTTTGCCAAGGATGAGTTCTTGGAGAAACCCATCATTATCACAACAATCTCAAAAAAATATTCAAAAATTTTCAGCTTATAAAATTCCTGATATAATCTAGATTGGCCTTTGCTGTATGTCAGAAATGGTTTGGACAATCCATTTAAAGAAATTTATTTTCATTCAGGCATACCTTTGTTTTGACAACCACATCTAAAGCATTTTGTTTCATTCAATATCATTTGAAAAAGATACACCTACATATTGTATCATCAGAAAGGAAAAAAATAACTTTGTATATACATATAGTACTCTTCTGTGCATATGAAACTCTCATTAAATTGTTAGGCTAAGCAGTTTTTGCTATTTATATAAAGACTAGTTTATTAATAAACACTTAAATTATGGATGTCATAATATCCATGATTATAGATATAGCAGAAAATACAGATATGGAAACAGAAATTAAATAGTCCTAACAGAAATTAAATATAGCATGGATATAGTAGTCATCAAAAATCTTAAACTGCATTTTTATTTGAAGAGAATAGTAAATTAACTGTTTAACAAAACAGTCTATATTTTGGCCCAGTCTTCCTTACCCCTTTGTCTCTAATAATCTAGTCAGGGTACCAGTTGGATTTGTGAAGTTCTACTCTCAAAAATCCTCAACCAGCATGCTGGAAATTATGGAACTGAAACTTATATAATTGATGTATGGTAATTAACTTTACATTTGGTCCATGTATAGCTAGAAAAGCAATAAGCCAAGCATCTCAACACACATTTGAGTGTAAAATTTCTTAAAGCATGTAATTAAAATAGAAATAAATTGTCTGCTTAAAACAGAGAAAAATATATTTTCATAAAAGTCTTCATGGTCTGAACTCAAACTTGTATAGAATGGAACTTGAAGAACTGACATGACTTTACAGATTAAAAATTATTTTTTCATATTTACACTTATTTTAATTCTCAGCCAAAATCTGCTCTAAAACTTGCAAATTGCTTAGGATTAGGCTGAATCCTAACAAAATAGAATGCTTAAACCAGAAACAATGTCATCATAATACTCTGAATTTGGCCTTGAAAGGAAAACATTATTGTCTGGAGATACTTCTGCATATAGCAAGGGAGGTTATAGCTATGAGAACCTTTGCCCAGTTTCATCTGATGTACTAATTATTATATATTCTTGCTTGGAATGTGATGCCTAGGTGATTGTAACTCCTGCCTTCTGCTAGTGTTTGGATTTACCGTAACTTTATGAATTTGGGACTACCTTTAAAGACTACTCAATAACTCCAGTTGTTACAAAATCTAGCAAACCTATTTGCTGAGGGAAGCAGCCATTTCAGCCATTTCACATAACTTATGTGTGTTTCCAGGTGTTTTTCAAAGCACCGTTATGGTTTGTATGCTTGGTATCTGCAGGACCATTTTCTGTCATAAGAGGAGGGTGTCAAACTCACAGCCCATGGGCTGGATGCATCACACACTGGCCACCTCCACCCCATTTTAGTGAAGGAAGAAAAGTCGTGATGCATCACATGATGACATGATGACATGAGGTTGACACCCTTGTGGGCAAAAGCTGAGAAGGTAGGTCCTAAGGAAGCCCAGGAGGTAGGGATTCAATAACAAGCCTTTTCAGCGTCTGCCCCAATCTTAGGGAATGGCATGTCCCCACCCAAGGTGAGAATTGGTCCCTCACTATTGAGATGTGGACAGGTGCCAAAATGTTGGGGCATATAATGCCATGTACTGGAATGGCTGACAATTATTTATGTCTGCTTTTATTTTGTACAATTTTATTTTATTTAATGAGTCAGTTTACTGATCATATTAATCTGGCTATATTTATGACTCATATATATGCTATATACCCACATGCAGAGACACTTATGTATTTATATGTATTCAGGAATGTAGATAAGAAATCATTCAAGTCCTAAAAGCTTAGAATTAGTGCTACATATTTCAAAAATGGTTAGGAAATGGTCTGAAATATATAAACTGTAATCTTCAATAACATAATGCATTTTGTTTTTATTATCAGGACCAAAACTGCATGCATTCTTCTTACTATGAAAGAAGGATTATTTAAGCTTTTTAAGTACAGCCACAGTAGATTAACAGTGATTAGAACGGCAATAACTGTGGGAATCACCCAAAAGAATGACTCCAAACAGAAAATGGTAGGGCACTAATTTAACTTGCTTTCACACAGAATCACGGGTCTCGCCATAGTACCTGATGAACTGCAGATCATATTAAATATTTATAATTAACTCTGATAAAAGTGCCACTTCACGATACTTTTTCTAATTAAAAAGACAGCATCAACTTGCATTTCTAAAAGACTTCCTTAGAAAAAATCATTTTTGTGATGGACCATCA